CGAGTATGTTACCTTGCACATACAAATAACTATATTACCACAACTATCACTACTAAAACTACTAACACTACTATAATTGCCATAAAATAAACCCAAAAGTCAATTAATTTCTACTAACATTTGTCTCAATACAAGTCATTTAAATAAAAGGTTAATAAAAAATATTTTCTTAATTACCTATTTAACCAAGTACCTATTTTAGTGTAAAACACAAACACAGTTAAGATATCAATTATAATTGTTTACTGTTTGCACTAAAATAGTATTTGGTTTAATTACTAAATGTATTATTTGTTTGTGAATTATATTTATAATAATTAATAAATTGTTTATTATTTGTGATGAACAGAGAGTATGTACGGAATGAGGGGCCGAATGGTGTCGAGTAGTCAGTCCTCGAGTCTCTTCCAACCGCTGAAGAAGTCTTTCAGTGATTACAGTATTTTGAATTTGTGGCCAAAACTCAAGACTCATACGAATAAACAGAATAATCATCACATGATTGGCGCCAATCATGTCATTCAATACGATTCTGGCGTCGATTCCGATCCCTATATAAGTGATACGAAATCCGCGATATATTGCATGAAATGAGCCATCAGTTTATGATTACTATTATTACATAACTATTGCTGTATTTCACAACTAAAACATAATTAGTATTCATTTGTTTTAATGAAGTTTTTATTTTGTTTGAAATATGATTTAATTGTGTTTTAATGAATGATTTATTAATTATAACAAAATTATGTTTTTTAATGAAATTATTTATAAATTGATTATTTAAAATAATAAATATTCATTTAGATTTAAATGATTGTAATTAATTTAGAGATTAATTAAGAGAGAGACTATTTATCTAGCTACATTTAATTGGGCATTCAATGCATTTAGTGTTTCCATGCATTGAAAATCGCATGTATTTTCTCCATAGAAGGTATTCACACAAAACCCTCAAAACCCTCCACGAATGGGCTGTTTTAGCAAGGTTCTTTTTATGTACGTTAAATCCATTGAGTATTATATATTAAAACGTACCAGACATTCGCCATAGAGTTAGTTTTGTAAGCAATCCAACAAATAAAATAAATTCATTTTTATTTCGTTAAACATATTTGTTACCAATAGACGGCAACTGAGGTCTCATAAAATAATTAATTAAATACAAATAAAATGATCATCAATTTAATAAATTTGAACAATTGTTCATTTGTAACAATTAAGTGCATTTAACAAGACTATTAACACATAAACCAATTCATAAATATGTGTAGAATTAATTAAAATCAATGTGCTTGTTTAGCTATTACCATTGCTTAATTTCATTGAAATTTAGCTTGATAAAAATCGGACATTTTAATCACAATTACTTTTAATAGGTATATATACAGAATAAATTGCTAGAAAATTGTTGAGATAACCAGGCTCGCATTAAGCTCGTTATACGAGTACAGCAATTAAAATCAGTTTGATTTTGTATTAGTATTACACAAACTTTAATTAAAAAACTTTTTATTTAGCATTCAGTCAAACTAATGATCACAAAATCGCTTCAATAATAATCATTCAAAAGCTATGTATATAAAAATGTTTAGAAAAATAAATAGTAATACAAATGTATGCAAAAAGTCACAAAAACTTTCCGACAAAAAATAATTTTAATAATGATTTGACTGAAGGGTCGTCCCGTTAGTCGACGTCAAACACGACGCCCACCTGTCGCCGGATCTCGTCCTCGATTTTGGCCATAACTATGGAGTCTTTGTGTGACATCTTATCCGACTCTATCTTCCCCTCATTGAGACACTTGCGGACCTCCTCGGCCTCGTAGCCCAGCGCCAGACTGTCGCCGTAGTTGAGGAACTCCGTGGTCTTCGGGAACGGGAAGTCGTGGGCCACACCATTCACGTACACCTTCTCCGACGACTTGAAGTTTGCCATAATCTGAACGACAAGAATATTCTCGCATTAATGCACTGTTTTTAACAGAATATTCATGAATACACTATTAGTAACAGAATATTCTTAAGTGTGTTATTAGTGTACAGAATACTGTTTATTACACTTAATATTCAGAATATTCAGTTCAACACATACTCTGATCGTGCCGTTAGTGCCGACAATGAATGCTTCATTGGGTAGGAGAAGCAAACTGTTGGCGAATATACTGGCCGTCCGATTGCCGCCATACTTGAGGTTAGCGGCGAAGTTCAGGTCCACTCCGTTCT